TAAAATCTTAAAATAAATAAATAAATAAATAAATAAATAAATAAAGGTATGAAGTTAGAAATTTTAAGTTTCTTTTATTTTTTTAAATTTTTTATTGTTAGAAATTTTAAGTTTCATACACACGATTTTAAAGTCTCTAGCCTAGACATCTAGATGTCAGAAATACCACCTCCCGACCCCCTACCCCCTCCCTTGTAACAACCATTTTTAAGAAAGGTGCTTGCCTTAGGGGATCTGGACAAAAGAGGGAGAAAAAACTTTCTTTTTTCCTCTTCCTTTAAATCATGCAAGTGAGAAAAGCTTTTCATTCCTTCAACAGGGAAACTACGGACAGCTGCCCTGGTATTTTTTTTTAAAAGATTTTATTTATTTATTCGACAGAGAGATAGAGAGAGTGAGCACAAGTAGGCAGAGTGGCAGGCAGAGGGAGAGGGAGAAGCAGGCTCTCCGCTGAGCAGGGAGCCTGATGTGGGGCTCCATCCCAGGACCCCAGGATCATGACCTGAGCCGAAGGCAGACACTTAACCGACTGAGCGACCAGACGCCCTGAGCTGCAGTGGTATTATTGCTGAGAACAACAATGCTACAAATCAGGAAAGGTAACAAGTGGCCAGATCATCACAATTTCAAAAAAATTTGTTTTTGTTATATAAAAACAGAGACATTTAGAGTTAATTCTGACAATAAGATAATAATAAGCCTCAAAATGGAAGCAGAAATCGTGCCTCCCTACTAGCAAAACTAATTCCAACAGCAATTCCTGAAACCAATTATAAAATAAGAAACTTTCTAGAAGCAATTTAAAATATTCCATTTAAACACACCAGTCTGAATGGTAACACAATGCTTTCTTCTGCAATGATGAAGAAAGTTTTTTTCCTCTTAAAAATGTATCTCTAGTGGCACATTTTAAAGAAACAGTCTACTAGGCTCTTAGGATCACTACTGCCAAATTTAATTTAAAAGACAACCGCATGCTGCAGACATATGAGTTTTAAAAAAATTTTTTTTTCAATGAGGCAAATGATGAATACCTACCACTCAATTCTGCCTTGGCTTGTGTTAATTACATGGTAAGGTTTTACTCGTTCTACGGTTTATTTTTTTAATAATTTGTTTTTCTTTTGAAAGAAGATGGGAAAGAAAAAGCTTACACACTGAAATGTATTTTGTATTGCAGTAATACTTACCACACTCTGGTTACCTAGAAGACAGCAGCTCAGGGCCAAATAGGAGAAGTCTCTGGAACACAACGGCTTTGTTGGCACAGCCTTGGATTGTAGTCTGCAAGGGTGGGGTTAGGGGTGGGTAAAGTCAGGAGGTGGAACTGGAGGAAGGAAATCTAGTTATCTCCACTGCCTTAGGGGTCAATATTTTTCTATTTAAGAAAGTGGGCACTGCATTTTATCTTATTATATTTATTTTCTGTGACATTTGCCTGACACCATTGCTCCCTTAGACAGCGAGATTTATTTATGATTAGGCAGCGACATGTTTTATGAAGGCCCAAGGCTTGTTTATTTATTTAGGGCTTTTCTATTTTATTCATCCCTAAGGCATTTAAGGGGCATGAAATGTGTTTAAAAGTAAGCACTGGGCAGCTGGTCTGAGGTCTCAGAAATGCTGAAGAGATAGGCAACCTTCCTCTGGCCAGGTGGTTGGGACTTCAGTTCCCAGCTAAGGAGCAGGGTGGCATGGACAAGAGGGGATATTGAAGGGTAGGGGGCAGAGTGGGGATGTGGTCAGTGGCATTTCGGTGCCACCTGTCTGGTGCCAGTGTGGGGCCAGGTTCTCAAAGGCGAGACCGATGTCAAGGAGCCCACTTTGGGAGCAATTTCATAGCGAGTGAAAGGTGCAGAGGGCCTGAGCAGGGATGGAAAGCAAGAGGAGAGATTTAACAAAAAATCGTAATAGGAGGGCTCCTGGGTGGCTCAGTTGGTTGAGCATCTGCCTTCGGCTCAGGTCATGATCCCAGGGTCCTGGGTTCGAGCCCCGTGTCAGGCTCCCTGTTCAGTGGGGAGTCTGCTTGAGATTCTCTCTCTCCCTCTGCCCCTTCCTCCACCCACGTTCTTGCTCGCTCTCTCTAAATAAAATCTTTAAAAAAAAATTGTAATAGGAAAAGGTAGCTTTTCGGAATTGGGCAGAGGAACAGAAGAGGGAATGACTCACTTACTGAATCATTAGATAGGCACATAGATACCCAATACTGTATATAAAACCACAATTGCTTCCAGGTTGCTAACTAAAAATGTGTTAACTTAGCAGAGGTTAAAATGTCCTTCAGTCTTATCAGTGTGACCCTAACAAGTTGTATTTTCTTTTATGGTGTTTGAACAGAAAGCTTGAATGACTCACATCATTCAAACTGTTTTCTGTTCCCCCCAGGTTAGAGGTGTGTAGAGAGGGAGTTGTTCCTGGAGGCACAAGATAAGTGGAAAAGGGTTCTTGGGTCCTCACTTCTCTTGAGGAACATTTGCCTCGACTGTTCACATTCACACGGACCATTAAGTAGAAAACTCACTATCGGTATAATAAATGCTCTTCCTCACGACTCCACTCCAGTCCCCTAAGTCCTCTCTCCTCCACAGCAGGACGGCTCACCTGCCTGGCTCCCCAGCTGGATGCTGAGCCCTCTGAAGAAGGTAGGGCTTTGTCATTAGCATGACTTTACAGTTGGGGCCAAGCCAGACAGAAGCATGAAATTCAGGGTCTCGTGGGATAACACGAACATGTTTTCAGACAATTCGCGGTAAATGTTTTAGCCACCCATGAACAGGAGAATCCATCTATCAAATGGAGAAGGATCCAGGTCTGGGGGATTTTGCCCATTTTGCCCATCTATACCAATCAAGCAGGTTAAAAGAGCCATACCAGCTCATCTAGGATCGGGGTGAAATCAGCCTCCCAGGACCTCTGTCCTAGTCTCTCATTCTTTTTACTGTTCATCCAACAAATAACATATCGAGAATTTGTTACATACATCAGGCCTATGAAATATACTAGGGACACAAGAGCAACAACCAGTTTCCCTGCTGTTGTGATGCCTATCCAGATTCATCCTTATAAAGGAGAAAGACAAAGGAAAAGCACGTGCAAACACAAATAAAACCTAAGTAAACATACAAATGGACAAAACAGTTGCACATTTTTCTAAGGGTCTCAAAGAAAATTGTCAAGGGGCTTAGATTCTGACTAAGGGGCTGGTAAGAAGGGAGTCTTACCTTGGACAGGGTGGGCAGGAAGGGCCTCCCTGAAGCAGTGCTAAAGGAAGAGCAGCTGCTGATGGGTGGAGGAGATGGGAGGAACAACCCGGTAGATGCAGAAGTCCCAGCATGAGCTCAGTGGATTTTAAGGAACTGAGAGGGGGGTTGCTGCAGGACAAGCAATGAAGATTCTCTTTCAATAGGAGGAGCCCAGGAATGGAGCTGGAAATAGTTTTACAGGACTATTCAGGAAAGCCTCTATGGAATGCTGTATTTTAAAGACAGATGGGCAGACTGGATTGTCCGTATGCATGCATGTATGTACATGCGTGTGTGAATTCATGCTGAGAACATCACCCGGGCCATGTGTTAGTCTTTTCATGATTGATTAAAGGAAGTGGCATGGCCACAACCTAGCTTCTGTTGCTTCTCTCTCTCTGCAAACAGGCTCAGCAAGCTTTGGAGTTAAGAACAGGTGGATTTAGTGATTAATGACACATTCCCTGAGAAACATAGTCAGGACAGGTGTGTGTGACTCCTGACATGAACAAACTGCGTTAGGGTCATTGCCATTTTCAAAAAGGACTAAGTAATCCCTGGCCTGTGCCATGTGGGGTACTGCCTGGAGTGGTTTCTATGGTACTGCTCCCGAGGTTAGCTGTTCAGCAAATGTTTATCAAGTTAGTATGGCAGGGTGGTATTAAGTGTGGCCTCTGGAGTTGGAATCACCAAGGGCTCACTGGGCGGCCTTGGACTAGTTAGTCACTGTCTCCGTGCTTCCGATTCCTCACAGGGTTGTTGTCAGGATTAAAAAGTGAACATGGGGCACCTGGGTGGCTCAGTCAGTTGGGTGTCTGCCTTTGGCTCGGGTCATGATCCCAGGGTCCTGGGATCAAGCCCCACATCCGACTCTCTGCTCAGAGGGGAGTCTGCTCTCCCTCTCTCTCTGCCCCCCCCCACCGCTCATGCTCTCTCTCTCCCCCCTCTCAAATAATCAAATAAATAAATAAAATCTTAAAAAAAAAAAAAAAGAAAGTGAACATGTCCTCACAGTCTATAAGTACGTAATGGGTATTTGCCAATACTGATTTTCTTTCTTCAATCCTGAGTTAGGGAAGTGGACAAAAGGCATCATAGTGAGAAGAAATTGAGGAAGGAGAATGTGCAACGTGCCACATAGCATGTGGACAGTGGGGGAGAGGGGAAAATCGAAATGGCTCCCACATTTCTAGGCCAGCACACTGCTTGAAAGTTGTGTCATTTAAGGCTTTCTCACTCAGTCACAGAATATTAAACAAAAAGGGGACTTACTGCCTGATGTCTGAAAAATCTTGGGCGCAACCAGGTTTGGGACCAACTTGTTCCGGGGCTCGAGCCTGTGCAGGGCCTGGGTCTGTCCTCCCCTTGGCTCTCCTCTTCTTCATGTGGACTCCACTCCTTCTCAGACTTCACATGCCCTGGGCTGCCAACAGCTCCGGGCTTGATCTCTCAGGTCCTGGGGCAAGAGAAAATGACAATAGTTAACACACATATTTGCACACTATATCATAAGTACTGTTCTAAATTTCTTTAAAGTAGGCTCCACACTCAACACGGAGTTTGAACTCTCAACCTTGAGATCAAGAGTCACATGCTCTACTGACGGAGTCAGCCAGGCACCCCCTGTTCTAATTTTTTTGCATATATTGATTCTTGTGATTGTTACAAGAATGAGGTAGGTAGGAAAACTGAGACAGATTAAGTAACTAGACCAAAGTTTACAAATAAGAGACAGAGCTAGGATTTGAGCCAGCCATCTGGTTTCAAAGTCTGTGCTCCAAAGAGCCTCTTCTGAACAAAACAGAGGATCATAGGGTAAGAGAGAGAAAAATCAAACAAGACGAAATCAGAGAGGGAAACAAATCATAAGAGACTCTTAACTCTAGGAAACAAACTGAGGGTTGCTGGAGGGGTGGGGGTGGGGGGATGGGGTAACTGGGTGCTGGGCGTTAAGGAGGGCACGTGGTGTAATGAGCACTGGGTGTTATATAAGACTCATGAATCACTGACCTCTACCTCTGAAACTAATAATAGATTATATGTTAATTAATTGAATTAAAATTGAAAAAAATATTATGGCTAAAAAAAGAGTCTCTTCTGAAAAACAGCCATCATCTTTTTGGACCCATTTGTACTATGGTAGTTGTGCTGGGGTCCCTAAGGCTAGAAGAAGGTGATGTCTACTTGGCCAGTGGCAGTCACATGCCCATCCTAAGGTGGGCATAAGGAAACACCATGCAGGGCTCCTGGGCTGGGCAAGGGGAGGGACCACCCGGCAGAAGGGGATCTGGATACCCTATTCAGAACACACAAGCAAAACAAGAGCTTTCCATCACGAGTGAGATGGAAAAGAAAGAGGAAGGGGCTCTAGGGAGAAAAGGAGGAGCTCAGTGTTAGAGAGCTAAAGTTTGAAGTGCTAGGAAAGCATTCATGCAGAGATACAGCGCATTGGACATATTGATTCATATTTGAAATAAGTTGATGATAAAAGGGTGAGCAAAGAGACACTGGACAAACGAAGACAAATGAAAGCAGGAGTGGTAACATTAATGTCAGACAAGGTAGAACTTCGGGCTAAAAGCACTGAGAGTGTAAGGAACATCCGTATGTAGTGATAAAGGCACAAATAATAAAGAAGAGATAGTAGTCGAGGGAGGCATCAAAGAATGTAGCAACTAAATACATAAAGGCAGGAAGGAGACTTTAAATGATTATAATGAGAGATTTTGAAATACCTTGCTCACAATTAGCTAGAATTAATAGTCAAAAAGATCATTCAACTCAACAAGTAACACAATGTTATACCATTGTTATACCAGTCAAAACTGGTATAACCCTGGCATGGCCCAGGGTCCCCGTGGCAATTGCAAGCTGTCACTGCAAGTCCATATTGCTGTGATGACTTGATCCACACTTGTCTCTCCCCCCTTGGGGGCACTTTGTTGAAAACCACAATTCGACTGAAGACATTTGAAAATCGGGGTGCCTGGGTGGCTCAGTTGGTTAAGCGACTGCCTTCGGCTCAGGTCATGATCCTGGAGTCCCGGAATCGAGTCCCGCATCGGGCTTCCTGCTCAGCAGGGAGTCTGCTTCTCCCTCTGACCCTCTTCCCTCTCATCCTTTCTATTTTTATTCTCTCTCCCTCTCAAAAAAAAAAAAAAAAAAATTTAAAAAAAAAAAGACATTTGAAAATCGAATTGCCTTTATTAAGCAATTCATGAATCAGGCAGCATCCCACCTACTAGAGAGGTGGTCTGAGGACTGGTAAAAAAAAAGGAAGGTTTTAATAACTTCTCAGGGCAAGGAAGTTATTAGGAAAAGAAAAGATAGAATTATTTCAGGCATGGTCCCGTTCAGCTATTCTGTCTGTGTTACTCTAAGGGGTGGGGGGAGAAACAGGGGTCTTATCATGTGGATTACCTCATCTTCCTCTGTGGGATCTAGAGGGTGCATCTGACAGATTGCCTCACTGGGACTTACCAGAAAATTCCTCACTGAGCAGTTAAAATTACATTTCTGGGGGACTTTGAAACTGCAGTTATGTTGAGTATTTAGCCTCAGTTTGGTGACTTGGCCTGGCATCAGTGACTCTATCTTGGGCCTGTGGTTTTCTTTTTAACAACCCCAACGGAGCCGTCTGTACATCTATTGCTTCCTACTGGGAGTATGGTGCTTGGCACACTGCAGTCCCTCCAGAAATATGGAGTGAATACAGGAGAAACAAGAGAGCAAAGACACCAGGAAGGATAGAGTCAGAGGAGGCAGAAGAAAAAGAGAAAACCGTACCTGGAGACAGCAAGTAGAAACTTTCCATTAAGGAAGCGGGGGCAATGATGCTGAATGCTTTAAGAAGCAAAAGTGAGTGAGGGATTACTCATCTTGTTTTCCACCACAAAGTTCTTTTATAACATGAATGCTAAAATGTTGACCACTTAACTGATTTTGGCTGATGTGCTTTGAGTATCCATAAAGTCCTTCCAAGCCCATAATCACATTTGCTTCTTAGAAATGCCCCAGAGGAGGATGGTATTATTAGCATCCTTATCACGCAGATGCCGATGGAGAAATAAAAGCTCAAAAAGGCTAGGTAACTTTTCCAGAGTCACAGAGCTGGAAAAGGTAGAGTCAAGGATGAGACTCAGGGGTTCGGATTAAAGGCGGTGCTCTTTTAAATTTCCCTGCAGGTGTTACCACAGCTAGAAGGTTGCAGTGGCTTGGTCGTCGAGACACGTATTTATTGAGCATTTCCTGCGCCAGGCATCCCGTATAGTTTAGTGAATGTGACCCAAGAGAGCCAGTCCCTTCCCAAGACCAAAAATTACAAATCCCCGCAAATGCTAAACATCGCGAACAGGTGCTTTGAGAGAATAAAACACAGGGACCACGCCTAGGCTGGGGTGAGGGTGGGGGTGGGGGAGTGGAAGTGGAAGGCGTCACACACTTTGTTTTCCTCTGAAAGCTAAGTTTCAGGACCCTGTCCTTAATTGCTGTTGGCTGCAGCCAGACACATTCAATCTTGTTTTGTTAGGTGGGAGGGATCAGTTACTGCACAGGTGGGTTCAATAGAATTGTGGGTAGACAGTCTGATCCCCACCCAGACCAGCTGAAACCGGTTTCAGTGTTTTCACAGGCTGGGAAATACATACTCTGTGAAGTATGTCTGTTTAAACACACTCTGTGTGAAACAAATATTAAAATTAGCCCCTGGGTGGAGAAGTGACACCGGACCCATCACCAATTCTGTTAGTGTTACTTTAAGCAAGGGATGGCCATCTCTCGCATCTGTGTGAGGAAAATAGTGCTGTTTGGCTTGACTCAAATCTTGAAAAGCTGACTTCTATCTACATTCCTCCCTTTCCCCAAGTTGACACGTAGAAAAAGCTGACAGGAAAGTACCGACAAGACACAATTGCAGAAGTAACACGAACACCAGAAGAAGGAATCCATTTCTTTTAAAACAAAAAAAATAAGGGAACAAGTTTGTTTTGTCCCTTGGTTCAGAGTGTTTGCATATTACACGTAGTTAATAGATGAATTGTGTGTCCGACAATGTAGAAATCAGAGTCACCACAATTTGTGACAGACATTTAATAAGGCCAGAGACCTT